GAGAGAGAGAGAGAGAGAGAGAGAGAGAGAGAGAGAGAGAGAGAGAGAGAGAGAGAGAGAGAGAGAGAGAGAGAGAGAGAGAGAGGGACAGAGAGTGTACGAGCGCGCACGAGAGCGAGAGAGAGAGAGAGAGAGAGAGAGAGAGAAGCAGCACATTCCCCTCCGAAGATTGATCTCCATCATGTTGATTACCTCCCTCCGTTCCCTCGGATATCACAAGCCAACTCCCACGACCAATCCTCCCATTATGGTGCAATAGGAAAGACATGCAGTCTGATAGGGAAAAAGGACCTCCCACAATGCTTGGAAAGAAAAACGTTCCCCTCTTTGAAAAGAGAACCAGTCAAAATGCTTCTGTAGAAAAGCCATCCAGTCCGGAAATCCTCCTGGGAAATGACCATTCTTCACACTCTTCACTGCCCACATCCTCCTGCTCCAACCTCATGTTGATGGCTTTCAGAGCTGACCAATGTACGATCCCAGGTGTCGCTACCACAATAATACTGACAACACTATTCCTAAAGAGAGTTTACATATCTGAATCCCTCAGGAAAAGCACATACCCCCCACTGGATCTCCTTCTGATTTAATGACTCCATGATATCTGGTGGCTTCCCAGTGATGGTGATTGGTTCCTCCTCCTCTGCAAATGCCGAAGGCTGTTCCAGAACAACTGTTTCAAACAGATAGCGAACGGACAGACAGCGTTAGCAACATGTCATGACATGAACCGAGAGGAAGTAAATGCAACAACCAATTTGAATGAGCAATCTGAGGATCTCCTGGTTGCCTCCATCAGTTCAAGTTTCGGTGCGATGCCAGTGCATTATGCCTACGTCAGGCCTCAAGGCAATATGCCTACCCTACGTCTCACAATCCAAAGCGCAATATCTCAAATCCACTTCTGCAGTGTAATTGACCATCAGGTTTCCCTACTGAGAACTAGACGTTCAATGTGATACGGCCCTTACAACCAGTGTGTTTTGGATTTTCACCACAACAGCCCCTAATCCACCCACATGAGTAGAACCAAATCCGACGCAGCTTTAGTCCTATTGCAGACAATGAAGCACATTTGAAGTTTTACCTCTATAGCAAGTAACATGGACCGCCGTAAGTCCGTTCAGAACCCTTTGTTAACTACGTTTATTTTGGCTGTCTTTGGCACGCCCCTTTCATTTGTTCTTGCAGCTCTCTGTTTTTTCTTACGCCTCTCACGTACAAGGTTGTCCACATTGATTGTGGTTGAGCGCCAGCTGCCCACACCCCCGTGTGCCTTAACGGCACACTCGAACATTATGAAAAGAGGTAGAGTATGAGGGGATGGTCTAGTAGAAGATGTCGGTGGGGGAGCTGGTGGTTGTGGTGGTGGTAGTGGTGGTGGTGATGATGATGGTGGGGGGGGCGGGGAGCTGGTGGTGCTGGGGGGGGGGGGGGGGGGGGGGGGGGGGGGGGGGGGGGGGGGGGGGGGGGGGGGGGGGGGGGGCGGGGGGGTGACGACGGTGGTGGTGCGGTTGAGGCGGCACACTTTCAGCAGCAGTCACCACATTGGTGAGACAGGCCTTCATCCCCTGCGGCCACTTCAACAACATTTACATTGTTAGCTGTGGCCCGCCTGGTCTCCAGCTGAGTGGGCGTATCCAGATTAGTGTCTGCAATTTCAGTAGGCATAACAGGAGAGGGCGGGCCTGCTGCGTTTGGCTGAGTGGAGGGCTGATGCTGCCTGTAGTCAAATTTGGTGTTTGGGAGTGGGTGGCAGCCTATCGAGTGTGTTGTGTGGAGGGCATGTGTGCAGAATTAGCATTCGGCAATGGGTGAGCAATTGCCCAGTGCACCATGCAGCGAAACCAGTTTGAAAGCCGTGTGACATGAGTGGGTAGCCGGCGCTGCCGGCCACTCACATATGCAGTCCAGCCTCTGGCCAGGACACTGGGAGGATGGCCCCTAACACGCATACATCATGTCAGGGAAGTCACTGCAGCTTCAAAGTTGGTGGTATTGTTACAGATATGTCCAAACCTCGTAAGCTGTCCCATGAGCACACTTGCATGCTGATGAGCTGGGCCCTTACAACCAGTCTGTGCACGAGGACACAGAAGCACGACAAAAGCCACAGAGATCAGAAGAAACAGAGGAAGTCATGGGCAGGAAAGTCAGCGATATTACGCTCCATTACCACAGTGGATGGAGACATAAGGTAATCCAGAAATCAGGAGAGGTCGGGGGATAAGAGATCTGGCCACAGAAATCAAGACTTTACCAAATCAATCGTTGAACAGCCCCTATATAACAGAAGCTACCATCCTACCCAGGGCCATGGAACATAGCCGAAATACAGCCCCCTCTAGATCACACACCAAAACACGGAGCATGATTTTTGGATAATGTGGAGGAAATCATGGCCCCTCAGGGTACCCCAGGGCCATGGAACATAGCCATAATACAGCCCCTTCCGGATCACCCACCAAAACACAGAGTATGGTTTCTAGATAATATAGAAAGGAAACCATATCCTCTCAGGATTGAACAGAAACAGAGAGTCACGGAAAGCAGTACACCAAAACAATGGCCGAATGGAAATAAAACTTGAAAGCTTATACTAGCAAGAACTAGGAAAAAAGCAAAGAGAAATCATCCCTCGCCAAAACCATACTTGCAGACTGCGGCATTCATTACTGTGACGCACAGCCCACAACGCTGGAGAAGGTCCTCAAATACAAAAAAGTTGAAAAAACATATATGTCATGGAGAACCACCCAGTGCAGAAAACATATCTCCTCATAGAGAACTGCACGGTACAGAAAACATATGTAGTCATAGAGAACCGCCCGGTGAACCATATGCAGAAAGGGATAAAAAGACCAGTGTGACAGACTGATTCATCGGAGTTTCACCAACCCATCAGGAGGCTGAAGCCTCGTGACGGTAGACACATGCAACTGTTAGTAGCCATCTCTGTGCAAAATTTGTCATATCAGTTGTTCCCCATCTTTCAGTAAACAGATCACGAGTTTGAATCTGGATGTCATAGTTGCAGAGCACAACCTGCTCTTGCAGTGGACCTGTGCTGTCGACTCCGCACACTGCATGTGCACCCCCCCACACATCCACGCGCACAAGGGAAAATGGGGGTTCTGAAAAAAGGAAGGACAGCACAGGGTCATGGCACCCGTCACCAGTTACAGAGAAGAAATAGTAATCTGAAAATAGTTGTTTTGCGCCGTGCCCAAGCACAGCCCAATGGCAACAAAGCTTTAGCATCCTAAAGACTGAGCGCATGCTCACATGAGGACTTTTAGATGTATGAATGCCCTCAAAGATTCTCTCTCTCTCTCTCTCTCTCTCTCTCTCTCTCTCTCTCTCTCTCTCTCTCTCTCTTTCCCCCTGTCGCTGACACATCTGCATCAGAAAAAGTCCAACAACAGAGTGCTTTTTGAACCAAGCAATACATTTTCCCCAAGCCTGACCCACAAAATGAAAAACGCGTGGGCTTATCAGTAGCAGTAGGGTACAAAAGAATGTGTTGTTTTGCCACCAGAATGCATGCAGAAATTTTTGCTTTGTTTTCTTCGATATTTTTCGCGGAAAGATCGGCGCTCAAATATGTACCTGATTTTTTTCAGATTTTTCTCAAAAAAACTGAGCACTAAAAATTGCCAAAGTCGGCATACAACATTTTGCGAAAAGTCGCAACCTCCCATTGCCAAGCCTACCACCCTTCCTACGGCAAGCCGCAAGCGCAAAATTGCACACTTTTGAGCCGTCGGGGCAGTGGTGGTTTAGAACAGGAACAATACAGAGAAAGCATGGCCCCTGTACAGGGATGAAAACACATTGCTTGCGATGAATATACCTGTACTCATGGTTGGATGCATCCGCAAATCCTGTACTGCGCAAGGATGACATGCACATAACGGGTAACAAAAAAAAGCAGTCCAACAAAACAATCTGTCACATTCGAGTACATGCACAATTCACCCGCATACAGGCACACACACCATCTGAGACAGGCGCTCCCCCTCTTCCCTGTGCCGCCATGTACAAACGCTCAGGGAAGATACCGAGGGCACTGTCTGCAGTACTGTGCACATCGTACCACACCTGTGCACAGGGTGTGTGCGGATGTCGATCTCGCGCACTGGCCCGTACAGAGCACCACACAGGTGCCCTGCAAGTATGGTATATGCGGAATAAAATGTTTTCTGAGCAGCTTTGGGCTTGGATGATGCCCAAGAATCTTATTTGATGAATTTATCTGGGATCTCAGGCCGGGCACCCAGTCTGCCTCTGGCTGCCCCGATGGCCTGGCCACGCACGTCCCGGGCCAGGTCCCCAATGGCCCCAGCATAGAATCAAAAGTGGGGAACTTAAAATATGGCCAAAATAATCAAATATGCTGTGAGAATTGCAATACAAACAACTTCTGGCTGAGCATCACTCCAGAATCCCATTTCTGCCCCGATGGCCTGGCCACGCACGTCCCGGGCCAGGTCCCCAATGGCCCCAGCATAGAATCAAAAGTGGGGAACTTAAAATATGGCCAAAATAATCAAATAKGCTGTGAGAATTGCAATACAAACAACTTCTGGCTGAGCATCACTCCAGAATCCCATTTCCAAGCGAAGATTCAAAACGGAAAAAGTTCAAATTAAGCTATACTGCTTCAAAGTTCAAAACCCTTTAAAACCCATTTACAAGCCTTTACCCTCCCTCGAGACCAACAGGCATAGCCCAATTGGTACACCCATGAACCGTTGAAACACAGACCTGAGTTCGAATCCAGATGGCACTAGATGAATGAAATACGTGAATTACCAGGGGCCGGTCAGCTCAGCCATGATATCTCAAGGCCGACGCCTTTTCAAAAACAAAACAAAAATAAATGGTCATGTTCCGAGCCGCCCGGGTTAACTCCGGCGGTGTCCCTGGCTGCGGGGCTCGCCCAGAGCCCGGCCAGGTTTCCCAGCTAACCTAAAAAATTTAAGAAGGTCGAAAGTTCTCACAACCATATGTCAGTGTTACCGGACTGAAAGTTTTGGGGGATTGGGGGGGAGGGGGGGGAAGAGAGGGGGGCGGGGGGCAAGTTCGGCCCTCTGGCTGAACACTGGAGGGGCGAACTTCAGTAAGTTCGGCCCCCGCTATCAGCTGTTTCGGGCTCTTTTTTTCCTTTCTGCAAATTCTTTGCTATTCGTGGTACGCACACGCAAAATGTGCAGAGTCTGTTTGCACCCCGGGGTAAAAGTTAAAAACATTGTTTGCACCCCGGGGTTTTGTTTTTCTTTACTTTTTAATCTTCTTTTGCTTTTCTTTCTTTTTTGCGAAGCGCTAATTCAATCAATCGATCAATACACCAGACACACACACACATGACCAAACAGCCTGGCACAGTCATGCTCTTTTTGTGTATAGTGAACACGACAACACACACACACACACGCACACACGCACACACATGATTCATTGATTGATCCAGTCTATCGATCAATCAATCAAACACAAGGCCACACACATAGACACCCACAACTGAAAAAATGTTAGAAGAAAAAAAGAGAAAAGAAAAATCAGCGTTCAACCGGACGCCTGGGAAAGGGGAGGGGGGGGGGCATTGCTGGCCGAACCCGGTTACCCTGGATTTAGTATTCAGGGTGCACCACACCACCTTCTGGCGCACCAAACAAGTATGCCCAAAACAGTGAAGGTGAGATCAAGGCATGAAACTTTAGCTCTTTAGCAATCAATGGATCAAGTAATGCAAAACCCGGAGCACTACATATTAGGCAGAAGTGAAGCCTTGTTCAAGAAGGATCCTCGGAATCAGAGTTCAGCAGTTGGGCCATCAGTAGTCATGAGCACTGGGTTCCATCCTGCGGACTCCACGTTAAGGCTCCTGATCTCATTATGTTTTGCCGACGTACCAGTTGGAAGGTCAGCTGGGATGGCTCTTCTCACAAAGAAGTTAGGCTCTGGTGGGGTTCAATCCCAGCAACTGGCCCGATTCCAAGGGGTGTCACCCGTGCAAGAATGCACAATTTTGCAGCACTAGCAAGTGCGTCCTACTTGCAAATAATCTGTGTTTCACATGGTTTGGTAGGATTTGCATTTGCCTTCGGTATTTTGAAACCTATCAGTTTGTCCTTCCTTTCAATGTTTAGCGATCCTTTCAATGTTTAGCGAAAGGCCTCAGGCCTTTGCTGCGAATTGGCTACCAGGACTGACTTGTACAAGTGGCCAAACCAATAAAGCCTAAATCACAGAGTACTGGTACCTTCCCGAAGTGCTGAGGAAAAGCCGGAAAAGCATGAAGGGCAGCAAAGTGCTAAAGCAATTGCAGGGCACCAGCCTAGGAAAGTGCACAACACCGTCCTTGGAAGTTGCATGGTACCAGCGGGGAAATCGCAAACTGGCCTGATAGGCCACCAACTGAGCCCGGCCTTTATATGGGGACGGGTGCTGTTGGCCAAAGAATTGGCTGGCTTTCATTCATTCTGTAAAAGCTAGGCAGTGGTCTATTCCAACCAACATGGAGGGGCAGTTCGCCAGGCTGCTTGAACTTCTATGCTGATTGTTCATGCCTTGCGCTGCTGCCAGCTACCAGGCTATGGCAGATGAGGAGGAAGAAGACTCATGCCTTATGCTGAATGCTGCTGGGAGCTATCTGGCTATGGCGGACAGAGAGTAGTCTTCCACAGCTGTGGAGGGACATAGTGTTAGCCCGTCAAGGGGAAGAAAGCCAGCAAGCAATCATCACCTGGTGGCAGTTGTCACCTAAGAAGCCTTGGGACACAACACAGCCAAAGGGCGGTGCATTATCTTCTCTGCTCCGTTCATAGGAGGACACCGTGCTCTAGGGTTGAAGGGCAATGAGGGAGTTGTATCTGCAACTGCAAAACGAATTTCGGTTCCGACATAAGCTGTGGGAACTAGGACTTCGCTGCTTGCACCGAGCTGCTCCGTGCGCGCGCGCACACACACACACACACACACACACTCTTTACTATTGCTACTACCGTCTTTACCTGAAGATAATGCCCGGGGGTTATATTCGACTTGCCCTAAAAAAGTCAGTTATGATTTTTGCTCTCTTTTTTTCAAATATAATGCCCAGGCATATACTTATCGGAAAGCAGAATTCCACCGATATTACACCAATTGTAATGACCTGACCAAACACGGACTGAGACACTCAGCTGATTCTGAGTTTTGCTCATGGAATGAATGTCTTGCTGAGTTTCCTGCTTGTTACTGGGTTCTCTAAGTCTGTGTGTGTGCACGCTTGCTGGTCTGCACGTCTGTCTGAGTGCTTGTCGGCTTGAGTGGGTGTGTGACCCGCAAGGGCACTTGCTCGTTCAGTCGGCCCAAAGGGCCGGTACTTACCTGTGGCCGTGACATTGAGGATTGCAGCGGGGGAACACACTCAAGTGGTGGGGAAAGAGGCCCGCAACACTTGAAGCAGCGGAAAACACTCAGCAGGTAGGCCAGTACCACACCAGTTATAGGTAGATGTGCCAGGTACTCGAGGCCGAGCAGAAGAAGACGAAAGTCGGCATTTTTAGAGGCCCAGTAGTTGTCGGCTAGGTCTAGGTGGGTACCAGTCCAACCAGTCTGAGTCTAGGGCCTGCACAGGCAAAATCAGAGTTTGCAACGATGTTTCACTCCGAAAGGGAGGATGTACCGGTTGCTCGGAGGCCGTGCGGCCAAGGAAGTCACTCGCCAAGAGGCAAGCAGGCCGCTATATCTCCAGGAGGAGTCAGTTGCTTCTCCTCATTGTCGGTGTGCAAGTTTGGCGACACACTCGTTGGAGCGCTGGCTGGAGCAGCGCTAGCTTGGAGCAGCGCTGCTGGGGAAGGAGCAAGGACACAGAGGAGGAAGAAGACCTTGACTAGGAAGGGGAGCGCCAGAGGTACTTACCTGGCTATGGTGGTTGCCATCTTCATCACCTTGGTGGGCGCTGCAGCAGGAAGGCCCCGTTGGGGCAGAGCTACACGAAGAAGCTTCGAGGCAGACTCAGGCATGGCGGCCTGAGCTAGAGCAGCCATAGCTGTTTTGTGTTGTCCTTTGGACAGCAGGGCGATGCCCTGGTGGTCCGCCATAGCCTCGGCCTATGAGAGAGAAGAGGAAGAGGGGCGGCCATGGCTATGGTGGACGTCAAGTGATACCTGCAGTAGAAGAGGGACTTGAACATTGATTCTGGATCAGCCATTCAACATTGTTATTATTATTCTTGTTTGAATAAGAGAGGAGGAGATAAGGCAGCGGAGAGTGGTTGGCGAAGGAGAAGAGCATTATCATTGGTCTATGCTGGTGTACTTCATCATCTTCTTCTTTCTTTCTTCTTCTTCTTCTTCTTACCCTCTCTCTCCTCTCAAGTTCATTCATTTCTTTCTAAAATTGGACGGCATTGTACTATCTGATGAATGTGTACTTCGAAATTGGCCAGGATCATAACATTGGTATCAGAGCGGTGAGAGTTGACTTATCCAACCCAACCCTAACCTAAGTGGTTAGGGCTAACCACTTAGGGTTAGGGTTGGTCCGAAGTGGGAAGTGGGGCAGCGTGGGTTAGGGAAGCTGCCCCCACCTGGTTAGGTCGTGTTGGGTCGACACTGAACCTGACCAGGTTGTTTGAGAGTGAGCTTGTGGTGGCGAGACACATCAAGAGGACTTCATGCGACAAGTTGAGGGAGGCGACAGTGAGAGGCACTCGCACCTGGAATCTGACCTAATGGAGACACTTGGTAGCTTTAGGGCCTCCCTCAAGTGGGCGATCTTGAGGTAGGTAGCCATTCTGCATCTACGGACTGCGAGTTACTAATTTGTTCTTCAGCATCGGCGGGGGATCCGGCGTTGCACTTTGGTGCTGGAGTCAGACCCTCCTACATGATAGGACACTAGTGTAGATGTAGCGAATAGGGTTAGGAGGACCATATGAGGAAGGGAGGTGAGTTATACTTCATCTCAGAGTCCAGGACATTCAAGTAAGTGCCGTGCACCTAAGGGTTGCTGTTACATGCTGAAAGCCTACACACGGGCCCCTCACGGGACCCGAGGTTGGAATAGGGCCCCCAGGTCGCGTCACCGCAACCTGAAGGCCCTATGGCATTTTTACTTGGGCCTGCATCAGAAAAACGCCAGCTTTAGATTATTTTTATAGTCTTTATTTTATTTATTTGCTGCTGTTTTTCTAACGGGTGTACTGTTGTCCGTTTTGTGGCCAGGTACACGCTTCTAGGGCCAGGGCCAGATTCAGGCCCAGAGGCTGAGCTCSTAAAAACGTTTGGACCTTTTCTTTTGTTTTCGAACAGATTTTGAC